ACAAAATTAGGATCCAAATTATTATAAATTACTTCAAAATATTAGATTAGGTACTTGAATTCCTTTATTTAAAATATATTACAATCCAAGTTTAATCAAATAATAAATTTACTAAACAGAAATAATAACTTAAAAATCTATTAAATATAATACATATTATCAAATATAAAGAGATGGCTAAATAAATTAATTAAATGATATGTATAATGCTGTTAGCTTAAAATAGAAAATATTTAGTTTCAAATGTTATTGACATAATAAATGGAGAAATACAAAACAATAATTACTTTCCTATATTAATAAAACAAAAAACTAATCTACTATCAATTATATATTTACAAATTAGTATCAGAGTTATGTTTTTAAATAATTCTCAATACAAGTACAAGAAATACAATGATACAATTAGAATAATAATAGATATAAATATTAAAATACAAAAAATCAGATATGTATTCTGTATTCAAAATGCAATAATAGCAGTAAAAAAATGCACATCTATATTTATTAATAAAGCATCTGCAAGTAGAATACAATTTCCATTAATTAATACATTTACTCTTACAGTTCACAAAATTTAAGATTTAATATTACCTGATATATCACTAAATTTAAACTCTCAAATGTTTAAAAAAAACAGACCTATACAATAATAAGCAAATGTAGCAATTGAAATAATGTTAAAATCAAATCTTTAAGTAAAAAGAAGTATTTATTGTTGATAAATTCATGATTAAAGAATATAAGAGATTAGAAGTAAAAGCATTTGAACTATTATCTTTATCTAGACTATTACAAACAAATAATTAAACATTTTTATAAATATAATAATACTAAATATTATTTTATTTATAACTTAATAAAAGATATAACAAAATCAATTATCAAGAAAGTAGTATAATAATTATATCTAGTAGCAACAAAGTCACCACATACTAATCTAATCTAATTATATATAAAAAAGATAAATTACTGTATATAATTTATACTATCACATTCATATTTATATATAAAATCACTTTTATAAATTCATCTAAAAGAGCTTGATAAGAGTGCAACCTGCTTAATTTTTTGATAAAAATATTCACAAGTATTATAAATATTTCTATTAATAACTAATATTGATACATTATTTTGATAAAGAATTGATAAATTTTCTCAAGGATGTGAACTAATAATAATTATTACTGCAATATTTTCTAGTTGTAAATCTAAAAGTCAATAAGTAATTAGATATTTAAATAAATTTTCTAAATAATCATGATATGATTTGTATTATGAATTTCTAAATCCCATATTCTATTATATCTTGTAATATATATTTCAAATGGATAATCAATTAATCTTGTGTCTTTATGTATTTTTTCAGTAAAGATCTAAAGATTTTTATTATAAATAACTCCTTAATCACAATATAAAATCATATTTTTTAATTCATTATAATGATTCTTATAAGTCATTTTTTTTACTAATACATATTCTTAAAAATTTGTAAATGTTTGAGTATTTTAAAAAGCTCTTTAGTACTTTAGTATTTAGCAGAAGATAATAAAAGCATTTTAATAATTAAAGTTATTAAAAATAAGATTTTTTTTAAGAAAGAAATTGTGAGAAACTTTGATCAAATATCAGATGATTTATAATAAAATCAAATAGCATCATTTATAAGATTATACTTTATAATTTTATTGAAATAAATAGTATAGTAAAATTATTATTAAATAAATTTATGCTGATCATGCAATATATATTATTTAATCATAGTATGATTTATTATAAGGTGTATGAATAATAAAAGTAAAGGATATGAATAACAGTTACTATAATAAAATAAGATAAAAAAATATAAAAGAGAAGTTCACAAAATAGAGAAAGTAATACAAAACTATCTAAAACTTTACATACAGTCATTGGTACTTTTACTATTATTTATAAAGGATAATATTTATATATTTTTAATTTTATATAATTATATTTAAATATATTAACTAAATTAACTATATAATTAAGTTAACTAAATTAACTAAATTAAATATATTAAATATGTTTACTATATTTATTATATTTAATATATTAATTACATTTTATATATTTAACATGTTTAATATATTTAATATTTTTAACATTTAGTATTATATCATATTTGCAAATTATATTATTAATATTTGGTTATAATACATAATATATATATTTATATGTATTTGTAATTCTGCCTTTTTTTTATTTTATATATGTAATAATTATACATAAATTATATTTTATTTACAAATATCAAAAATATATTATTTTCATATATATTTCTGTATACAAATTTCTTTTAGAGTTAAATTATAGTACAAAAAAATAATTATAAGTAAATAATTAAATATTTAAAGTAACAATAATTAATATCATAAAAAATAATTATTTTATATACAAAGTATGAGACAAAAAAACAATTTTTTTTAAATGTATATTATATAAAAACTAATAACATAAACTATATAAATTTAAATATTTTGAAACTAAAATTAGTTTATTTTATTAATATATTTTTAGAACAGAATTCATTTATCATTATTTTTTATAATAAGTTTACATCAGTATTTACTAATCTAATTAGGGTTAATTCCAGAATATCATCTTATTCTTTAATTATAAATTGATACAAATCATCAGTATTTTTTAGCATTTTCTTCTCTACATTTCTTTTAATAATACTTTAAAAGTTTTCTATTAAATTTAAGTTTAAACTATTAAAAGGCTAGTTAATAATTTCAGAAAAATTTTTTCTGAAGAAATTTTTTGACATATTTAATAATTTAATTTGAATTATTATCTTCCTAAAAATACTATTCATCTTCTAACAAGTCTTCAATCTCTAAAAGGTATCTATAGAATATATTTACATAAAATTTAGCATTTATTATTTGAGTAAAATAATATAAACTTATTTTTTTTTTGTGTAAAATCTTCTTATATAAAATTTTCATTCAATTTTTAAGTATAAGGTATATTAATTAGTCATTATCTTTTATGCTAGCACTTTATGATATTTTAAAATAATTGGTAAGTTGTTTTATTTGAAAATAGAGTATTATATACTACTTTATACAGTATCTAAAATCTTAATAAGAAATGTTATTTTTTAAATTGAATAGTACTCAATGAAAAACTAGATACTATTTTAATTGGATACAATACATAAAGAATACTATATATAAAATTTGTTATATTAAGTTTTAAATGTAGTGTTTTATAAAATGAATAATAAAAATCAGCCTTTTTCAAATTTTAAGAATTCATTTATTTATAGGCGATTGATTTTATAATTATATTCAGGTATTAATCACTTGTCACAAAATTTAGCTTTAAAAAGTATTTAGATACTATTAGTGACTAGGTTAATAGGTAGTGAATAGTATTCAGATATTAATCATGAACAGTATTGGCATTGAACCTTGTCCAATTCCCAATAATAGACTATTAGACTTTAGACTTAATAGAGATGTTCAGTTTATTTCCAACTCAAATGGACTATAAATATATAATTTTGGTCAGATTTATAATGCTAGCCTATCTTAAAATTTGAATAATAATAAAATCGTTCAACTAAAATAATTCTACTAACCTGAACTGAATTTTTTCAGGTAACAGAGAGTTTGAATTAGTATTATAAAAATTTCAAATTTACCTTATCCTTTCAGATGAAAAATTTAAGATATTTTTAGAAGAACCTAATTATTTATAAATATTAATAAAAATGATTTACATAAGAGAAAATTTATTCCTCATCCAGGTGATTTCTCACCCATATTCACGTGACTGGCTGATCAATGAATCACATAGAGATCTGGATAAGTCATATTAAATTTTTAATAATAATAAATAAAAAAAATAGCTATGCATAAAACCTTTGCTTTCTAAGCTATAATAATTCTTTTCTAACAGTAATGAAGGGTTTTATAACGAAGGGTTTTGTAATAAAGGGTAGAGTTTTATACTGCTTGTCTCTGACTTTTTTGCTACTAGAGTTTAAGAAGAAAAGTTGTTTTTTTTTTCCAATTTGCAAAGAGTTTAAATTTGAAGGATTTTTTCTTTAAAGGTTTAAAGTCTTTTGTTATTTCTCTAGTATTTTTGTTCTTTATATTTTTTTTTGAAGAGAGAAGTTTGAAAGTCATTTTTCTTTGAAGTCCTTTTTACTGGTATTGACAATTTATTCCTTTCTTTTGAGTTTTTTTCTTCCAAAGTTTTTTTTTTTTTGGAATTTTTTTTTTCCTTCGAAAATTCTTTCCAATTTCTTTGAAGTTTTTTTGACTGATGGTGTTTCTTAAAGTTCTTTCTCTAAAGTTTTTTTTTTCCTTTAGAGTTTTTTTCTCCTTCCAAAAATTCTTTCACTAATTTCTTTGACTGGTAATGTTCTAAATTTTTTTTAAGCTTTTATTTCTCAAAAATTTTAATACTACTTTAATATTTATCGCAAGTAATAAATGACCACTCCATCTGCTCTAATATTATAAATATGCTTACCTTCAAAGCCTTTATGGAAGGTCTTTATTTGCTTATCAAACATTCGTATTTTTTTACTTTTTGTGTCTACGCTAATCATGTTCTATAATACTGCACTCTTTATATAACCCACTAATAATAATAATGATAAAGAAGAGTATATTTTTAGAGATTTATTAAGCTCTAAATTTGAAGGTTATAACAGTATTTTTCTACCAATCAATACTCTGATTGAAATTGAGTTAAGAACTAAGTTTCACTCTATAGAAATTGCAGTACATTTTATAGAACAATATGCTCTTCAAAATAACTTTGCCATTTTTAAGTATAATACTGAAAAATTTCAGATGATACTTGTAGAAAAAGGGTATTTAAGTGTGATTTGGGAGAAAGGTATGTTAAAACATTCAAGACTGATATTAGGTAAAGAAAAGAGCAAAGGAAGTAAAAAACAAGACTGTATGTAGTAAGTAAATGTTAATAGATGATCAAATTTACCAATAGCAACTGTAATGTCATTTAATGATGAACACAACCATGAGATTTCTATTGAAACTATGAAATTTTCTACCACTTACAAAAATTTTTCTGAAGAAATCATGGAACAGATAGAATTTTATATTATGCATGGCCGATGTGATGCAGGAACAATTAGAAACCTTCTTCAACTAAAGTATCCTAATTGTGTATTTCTTACTCAAGATCTAGGGAATGCAATTCAAAGAATTAAACGAAAAAAGGGATTGAATTTAGGGGAAACAGCATCTCTATTAATGAAATTTCTTGAATTGCAAGCTAATGATCCTGTATAGTTTGTAAAGCCATTAATAGATGACACAAGTAATCAGTTAGTTAGTATTTTCTGGATATTATCAGAGTAGCGTAAAAGGTGAACAAAATTTTATGATATCATTATTCACGACAATACTGAAAGAACGAATAAATATAACTATCTGTTAAATCTCTTTATATTAATCAATAACTATAATAAGAGTAGGTTAGCAGCTCAAACATTCATACAGGATGAAAGACAAGAATCATACAAATGGTTGCTTCGATATTATTTTGAAGCATGTAAAATTCTTCCATTAATATTATTACTGATGCTGACCCTGCAATGATTGCAGCCATTTATATAGTATTTTCAAAGACTCATCATATGTAATTTTTATATCATCTCTATTAAAATCTTTTAAAAAACCTTCGTTCATGTTTAGAATCATCATTTTATCAGGAATTTCTTAAAGATTTTAAAGGAATTCAATGCTTTTATTGCGAAAATGTATTTGAAAAATGAACTAAAGGGATAGTTGAAAAATATAAGGCAGGAAGCAAATATATAACCATAATGCTATTGAATCGAAAGCATTGTTAATCCTACGCTCAGCCTGTTGAACTTAGGGTAACTATGACTTAATGACAGGAAGTAACGTACAAGAAACTACTAAGTTACTGTGAAATAAGTCCTATCACAATCAACCTTAGGTTTATACTTTTAGACAAGTAAATAATTTTAACAATTTGTAAATACGATAAACACAATTGACATGTTAAAGGATTTTTAATATGTGTAGTTTAAAAAGAGATTCCTTTATTGTAGAGATTTGTATTCTTAGCAATCCTTAACCTTGGATTCTAAGTTTTAAACTCGAACTATTAAGTTTTTACTATTATCTCTGCCCTTTTATAAGGACAAGTTTCTATCCTATTTATACAAAAATACAATTATAAGAATTTACTATCTAAAGCTAAACTAATTTATAACACTAAGATAAATATAAAAGATAAATTATAATTTAATAATAATACTAATATAATAAATAATGATAATAAAATATAAGAATAAAATAAATAAAATAAAAATGTTAACTAAGTTAAAATGCTAATGATGTTAATAACATTGATCATTCGTCAATCTTTTGTAGCGCAGTAGAATTAACTTCATATGGTATCAGCATACTTGGGTAAAATGCTTTATATCATAATGTTTCATAACAGAAACGCAATCTACACAGCATATAGAATCAGAAAATGCATTAATAAAAAAGGCCATGCAGTCAAGTTTCTCTCTCTTACAAGTTCAAGAATCTCTTAAAAATCAATTGGAATTTGAGTCAATTAACAATCGTTATTCAATTTGGAAAGCTTCAACATTACAGTATACACAACCTTTCATCATACAAACATTCTTTAGTAGCATTAATAGTATCATAAATAAATATCTCACACAGCTGATTCACGATGCATATTATAAACAAATGTGTCGATCTGTATGCTATTGTGCATATCAAGTACAATTTTCTGAAATTCCAGTATCAGATGATGGTTCATTTGAACCTTTCTTTGATAAAGTAGAAGATTCTGCCGAATCTTTTATTGAAGCTGATGAGGATCGGGAGCTTGACTTGAAGTTTTTGATTTTGATGGTTAGTTTTAACGATATTTTAGAAGTTTGGAAGATTTTTCGATACAATTACCCAAAATGCTATCAACATGTAATTCTACTTAATACCAGAAAATACTTATGCACTTGTTTTATGCTTGTCACTCATGGTATTATATGCAGGCATTTCTTTAAAGTGTTTGTTGAATCTTCTAATGCATGTTTTCATTTGACATTGATTCCTAAGCGTTGGTATAAGGATGAATATATCAATTCAAATGATACCTGTTCTAGTGAGACAATTACAAGTAATGGCCAAAATGATCAAAATGGTGCGCAAATCACTTTAGAATTTGCCCAAAAATACACCATAAATGATCTTTCAGAAAGGTATTCCAAGCAAATATCACGAAATCAATTAAAATTTGGTACTCTAATGGGCGAAGCCAAAAAGGCAATTCAATTTGCAATTCAAGATGATGATGAAGAACTGATTCAGTTTATCAAGGATTTTAATAAAAGAAAAGAAGCTCAACTAATTCAAGCAGAATCGATTAAGCAACAAAAAGCTTTAGCGGATAGAAAAATGAATGACAATCGGGTCCTTTGTAATACAAAAGGAGTATTGATCGATTCTAATCAGATCTTGGATCCATTGAAGCGTCAGCCTAAAGGAAGACCACCAACAAAACGGTTGAAGCCATCTGTTGAAAAATCAGATTCAAAAAGCAAAAATGGAGGCGAACAAGCAATATCTGATAGATGTCGTAAGTGTGGCTCATGTGGGGAATATGGTCATTATCGTAGCACTTGTTCTAAGGGTTAGGTTACGATACTTAATCACGTGTTTATAGTGCGAGATCAAAGTGTTGTTTTATTAGTTTCACTTAGTAATAGCATGAGATCGTGTTAATCTTATAGTAATAGCATGTTTGCGATATTTTGGCTTTAATTGTTACATTTATTTGGTACAGAATTTAAACAATAAATATTGATAAATGCTATTTTTTTTATAATAATTGTTGTTAATAAAAAATGCATACAAAAAAAAAATTATAAGGGGTGAAAAATAATTTAACTCACCCGGGGTGAGGAATAAATTTACTCTTTACATAATATAAATTTTATAATAAATTTATAGCTGTTGGACGAAGTCTATAGTGCTATAACACCAGAGTATCACTAATGAGTTGGGTAAATTTGGTAATCTAGTAATTTGAGTACCAGAGCAATCAAGCTCCGTTAAGGAATTGAGTAAGGTTGGTAGGATAGTTATTGGAGTATCGGAACAATAAAGTTCCATTAAGGAGTTGGGCAAATTTGGAAGGTTAGTTATTTTAGTGTTATAACACGAGTTTTGTTATGGAATTGGGTAAAGTTGGTAGGGTAGTTATTGGAGTATCAGAACAATCAAGTTCCGTTATGGAGGTAATCAGAGTATAATTAGAAGGTAGTTTTGATAATTTTCGATATCTTTGCAATTCGTCTAATATGTCATCCTTATTAAGATCCGTGATTTTCAAATTAACAATAACGTCATCATGAATAACGACTGATGCTTCATTATTCGATTCTAATTCTTCTGTATTCATCTGATTAAAATTTTGAATCATTAGAGATAATTCTTCATGAAATGAATTGTTAATACTGGAAGAAGCATTAACACTATCCAAGTAAAAGTTGTTGCTTAGATAATTGAAGATTTGGTTCATCATCATTCATTCGATAATAATCAATTATATTAGTTTTTGTAATGATTGCATTTAATTCCTCAACGACTTTGTTCATGTCCGGACGATTGTCTGGCTCATTATCCCAGCAAACTAAAATCAAATAAAAAAATTATTGACCGTAAAACATAGAACTTATCCTCATTAATTAAATTTAAGATAATAATATATTTACCAGTGTAAATGTTTACATAATCTTCAGATGTACCAGGAACGATACTTTCTCTAAGTCCGTGTGAAATTTCTATAGCTAAACCAATGTCATACACTTCATCTTTAACATGAAAAGGAGGACGGCCACTTGACACTCCCACAAGAGCACGCCAACGCTGTAAACGTCACTCTTTTCGTTGAGTGTATATTGTTGCGATTTTTTCTTTCTCTAATAAAACTTTTAGGATCGATATAAGGAATTACACCAAAAACTTTTGATTGATTGGTTGCTGCTTCCATTCTTTTTGATAAACCAAAGTCTGCTAGTTTAATAACGCCTTGATGGATTAATATATTGCCTGAATGCTATTCATATAGAAAAAATATATATATATTTTTTAATAATTACTAAAAAAGAAATGTTCCTAATAAACAAAATTAATCATAATTTTACCAAGTCACGATGTACAATTCCTTCGTCATATAAACACGACACAGCACAAGTCAATTGGAATGACAAGTTGTATTCATCTACCCAAGAAAGCTTATAAAAATTATTCTTCAAATAGTTCCGAAGCGCACCGCCATCTGCATATTCCATTACTAACCAATAATCTTTCAATTCATTTTGATTTCCTTTTTTTTTTTTTTTTTTTAAAAAAAAAATAAATATAAATGATTTAAAAAATAAAAATGTAAAAGTCAATATAAACGATAAAAAACCTCATTATTTTAATACCTTGAATTGATGATGTAATCCCCAAAAAACGGATGATATTGCTATGAAAATTAACTTCCCGTTGAAGTTCAAGCTTAATTAAATTATTATGAGTATAAAAATTAGCTTAATATATAAATGAGATCAAATACATTTATATTTTAATTACCTTACGAACAAGTTCTTCAACAGTGGTATTATTGAAATTATGAAATGATTTTAACGCGAGATGTTGCTTCGAACTTTTCCAATTTGCTCGATAGACTTTTACAAAGCTGCCTGTACCTATCTTTTGAAAATTGCTAAAATGTTTGAATTCTTCAATCCCATTTGAATTATTATCAGCTTGCATTTTGCTTTATTTTATAGCGAGAGAAATGATAAAATTTGGAGAAGAAATGCAAGAAATGAAAACTTTGTAGATCATGTCATGCTACCATTCCATTTCGATGATCAGCAAGTCTCTCACAACGTAATAAGTTGTTAATATACGATGCGTAACTAATTTGATTTAGTACAGGCATAATCTTTAATTTCAAAGGAGCATTTATTATCTACTAACCTAACATCAAATTTCGATGAGATTATATTTGCATACGTGCTACCATTCTTCTTGGACATAAAAAGTATTATTTTGTCATTCATTATATACCGTAAACCAACTTCAATGAATAGGATTATGATGAAATTCCTTCAACATATGAACGTAGTATTTGCAGGCTATACATGACCGATCTTAGTATCTGGCGAGAAAGAGTTACGTTGGCCAATTTTAAGTAATTTATAAGACGGGAGAATTCTTTGATAATAGAATTTGTACAATTCATTCTTCCATCGTAATTTGATGATTTATTTTTAAAACCAAAATAAAATCAATTTGTTTGGTAATTTCATTATAAAACATAAAAAATTTGCGGTTGTGTTAATTCCTCCAGTAATAACCTCAACTATTATTTGATTCATCAAATCGGTTAAAGGAGCTTTTGTTACGCTCAGTAATTTACGTTTATATTTATAAACAAAGGAAAGATAAGCAGAAGGTTTAGTATTGATGTAAATTTATTTATTAAAATCAATTAACCTAAAAGTCGCGTCGCGATCTCAAACTTCCGAAATCCGTTAATACTAATTAATTGAAACAAATAGAAAAAGAAGAGAAAAAAAATTATAATCTTGATAAAGACAAAGTGTCCAGCGGGCGATATAAGAACAATTTGTTTTTGGCTAGAAGAAATCGGCCGGAGGACTTTTATGATATGGCCAGAACGCGAAAGTCAAAAAAAACAATTGATCTGCAAAAAAAAAACTAAAACTAAAAAATAAAATAATTATTAAGTTGTCACCCCCATCGATATATTATAGTGATCATGTTTTCGTAATTTCGTTGCTTTTTTGGGGTAACTAAAAATTTTTATTTATTCCGCTTCTTTTATTTTATATTTATATTAAAAAAAATAAAAAAAAATCTAAATATTTTGTTGCTCACGCTCGGCTGCTATACAAGCTTGACATACTTTTCAACTAAGGGCGTTTCTCAAGCAACTCCCTCAATGTGATTGAGATGATGCTCATGCACCAGTGATCAATTTAAATAAGGATAATTGAGCAGCTTCTCTTCATTCGAAAATTTATAATGAACAAAGCTAATAAAAGAATAATAAAGCTACAACTCAACATAGACAAATGAAGGAAAATGCTTGTAAGATCTCTTTTATACTCCATCGATGGTAAATTTTAGCCAATCAGCGTAGCTCGATGAAATAAAAAGATGGTTTGGGCATGCATATTTTTTCATCGAAATGGTAACTCATCTGTTCTGCAAAATCAAATCTCCGACTAATAATTAAAATTTCATTTCCGATCAATTGAGTTAGGTGCTTGAGAACGCCGTAATACTATTAACGTAAATCAACTCTTTAATCATCTTTGAATAGTGTTATGCTCATCTAGAATTACATAATTAAATAGAGAATTATCTCGAATGATTCAAAATTTTAATCAAAAGGTTGTAGAAGAATTAGAATCTATTATAATTTTACGTATAAATCATATAAATAAGGAATAAAATTAAACCGGAATATAAAAAACTTAATTAATGATGTCTTTTAATTCAATCAAATTTTCCATTTGCTTCTTTGTAAAATATTTGTCGTTAAATACTACTGGAATATTTGGGTGAGATTTATGGAAGATATGTAAGGGATTATCCATTCTTGGAACATCGATTTCAGTGCCCTTATCAAATTTCACTCGAACATAATCTATTTGCTTTAAAATTAAAAAAAAAATTAAAATCGATATCCATAACTTGCTCATAAATTTCAGGTTTACATACCATAATTATAGAATTACTCTTTAAATTAATTGAAAGTTGTGATTCATAATCTAACTTAAATGGAAGTGTATATTCAATCCAGCCCAATCCAATAAGTGCAGATAACTGGTTATATTTTAAATTCCTAGATCTCTATAAATAAATATAGATTTAAATGTAAAATTTAATAAATATTTTGAGATTATACATATTTAATATATATAACTTACATAAAAAGAAAATTCTCTAACAATAAACTCCACAGAACAATCTTTATTCAATAACTTTTTAATATTTAGTTTCAAACAATAATAATAACTTTCACAGATAATAACTTCAAATTCGGGCAAAACAATAGGAATTACTTCATCTTCAAAAGATAATACTTGGCCAGATAAACTTAGATTAATGGAAATATTAGCTATATTAAAATAGAATAAATTATAAATATATGTATAAAAGCTTACCTATTTGAATCCGTTTCTTGAAACCGATGAAATTCTCTATTCAAATAAACAAGATTAGAAAGATAATAGATATTTTTTCCTACAATTCAAAAAAATTAAATTGTTAATGTTTTAATTTCTATATATTGTAAAAAAGTAATATCGTGTATTATTCTTACGAGTATGATATTTATTAATTATTCCTAGATAATTAACATCGTTATCACTTATCATATTTATCATATAATATGAAAATAAAAATAAATTTGTATACGTTAAATATTTATATAAAATATTTTCACGATTGAATATATTATCACCAAAATATTTTGACAAATATTTTGCCAAATTATCATCAGAATTGAAAAATAAAACGCATTTTTTAACTTCAATTTTAGTTTTTTCATTATTTCCTAATGTATAATATATTAGTCCTTTAAAAAAATATGCAAGACTATATGAAGGATCTAATTGCATCAATTTATTAAGATCTAATAGCGCTTCATCATATTCTTGAAGTCCATAATGAGTGATAACTTTTTTAATTAAGATATGGGTATTCTCAGGATCTATATTATATGCTTTTGCAAATTGCGATATAGAATCATCATATCTTCCTAAATAATTAAGAATTTCTCCATGATAACATAGTATTAATGAATCATCTGGATTAATATCCAGTATTTTACCTAACATTTTTAACGCTTCTGAATATTTTTCTTGAATTTCATAAATATATGCACAATACTTCAAACATAGGTAATTTTTTGAATCCTTTTGTAATGCAACCTTATAGCTTTTTAAAGCATCATCATAATACTTTTTTTTCTTTTCCTTTCTTTGCTCTTCATTCAGATAAAAAAAATCATCTCCTTCTGCTTTCAAAAAACAGCAATAACCTAAAATTATATTTGACTTAATTTTGTTTTTTGAATTTTCTAATGCACGTATTGCCGTTTCATAGTAACCTTGTCTGAAATGTATTTCTCCACGTATTAAATATGCAATCGGTTTACTTTTTTTTAGACTAATAGCCTCATCTAAATATGAATGCACTTGCTTATAGTGATTAAGGCATCTATAAGTATAAGCTAAAATACATATCATTGTATAACTATTAGGAAACTCTTCTAAGTATACTTGACCTATTGATATAGCATTTTCATAATTTTTATTTGCTAATTCATTTATAACATTCTGATAAGCCGGGCGTCGTTTTTTTGGTTGTATTATATTTGATTTCAATTTAATCGATATACGATTCTTTTTTTAATTAATATGTGATCAACGTCTGAATTATCAGATTCGTCTTCGGAATCATCATGTTGTTTATTTGTTTGATCTAAGTTTGGATTATGTTCTGTATCATATAAACACGAATATAGATACTTGTAAATGGTTTTTTGTGATACGTATTTGACATCATTATCTTCAATCCTTTCTCGACATATAGGACACTTCTTTTTTGTTAATTTGTTATACATTTTATATGATATCTTATGTTGACATTTTAAAAGATAAAATTGATCTTCCAGCGCAAGACTAATAGGACAAGTCATTTCATCGGTGATAATATCCAATATTTTACAAGAATTTAAAGTTTGCTCTTTAAAATATGTATTTTTATCTAAACATTTTCCTTTTCCTTTACCAATATCATCATTTAGCATAATTAAGTCTTGATGACATTTTTCCTTAACGAATGATAATAAACATTTAAATCCTTCCGAAGATTCATTATTTGAATTGATTTCATATAATTTTTGCGCGTACTGATTGAAATCAATTTCCGTCATTGAAAACGATTCCTCGTTTATAATTTGCAAGTGTAGCATTACCTCAATTGCTTTAAATTGAATGAAATTGCTTGGAGCTTTGTTTAGTGATTCAATTGCCAAATAATAACAAAGTCCATGTATAACCGGTTGAGTAGAACTTTGAATGAGATTTTGCGCAAGATCCAATATTCCAAACCATAACATATTCGGTAATGCAAGTGGTTCATTTCCGGTAATGTCATTTAAAATGCTTCCCGTGTTTCTTAAAGTCTTGAAGAGTTTATTTGATACTTCATCAAATTTAGTTTGAGAATCTAACATTGTTTTGTCTACAACATTATTCCACTCTATCTCTGAATAAATCCAAAAAGATTCCATTAAGATCCTTTCTCCAAACTTTCTACCAATTATCTTTTCATCACTTTCAGATCTATTTAAAAATTTATGTCGAATTGTCAACATAATTCTCCAATCTATATAATAAGAAGCGACTGGATATTTAAAACTTAAACCTTGACGTAATTGAGTAAGCATTGATAATATTGAACAATTATCATTTGGAAGAGCAACTCCAGGTGCTATAATATTTGTAATTCCTGGTGCAATATTTAGAACAGCCTTCAACAAATCTTTAGTTCTTCTTAAAATTTCTTGAAACCAAGTTTCATCATCACGCAGACTGTGTAGTGTATCGCGCAAGTGAATCAACAAAAAGTCAATATTATAGTTATGCTTTTCAATACCCTTGTTATCTTTGTCATCTTGTTGATTTGATGGATCGTACTTTAACTTAAGGCCGCTAACAAGTCCTTCTTCAATAACTTGCATGTTTTTACGATGAAATTCCGCAAATTTTGCTAAGGAATTGTAAATTTTATCCCGAATTTCTTTACCAAGGACTATCTGAGAAAAGCATATCTGTTCCAAAGCTGCGACCAAAGTTCGTAAGTGTAATTCCAATCTTGTAGCGATTGCCTTTGAATGATGGTCAAATAGTGTAGGATTGGCCAAACTTCTTAATGAATCTACTAAAGTTTGAGATGAAAATTCATTTTGTAGGTTTTCAAAAAGTAATTTTAGAGCATATAAAAAATTCGATTTTGTTAATTTTGTTAAAAGTTGTTCCACTTTTTCATCTGGCGTGGTATAACCTTCCTCCTCTAAATTGAGAAGGATATAATTTGATTCCATTTTAAATGAAATGTTCAAATTTCTTGGCACAGGTTCAGGTTTTCTTCTAAAATTTCCACTCTATTTATTATTATTTATTATTTAATAATATAAATATATAAACAATACTAAGCTAAGTTTTGATTCTCAAAGTTTAATTTGCCTGGCATGTGCTTCCTTCCATTTCTTTTTTTTTTTCCTTTTTTTTTGGACATTAAACTCCTTTTTTCATGTACTACAAATTTCTGAAATGAAAAATTTTAGCGTAAATACGGACATTACTAAAAAAAAGGTTAGATCAAAATTTTCTCTCACATTTTTAATAAGTTTGTAGTCCAAATGCGTTAATGTCCGAAATTGATCATCGGAATGAATCAATGTCAATAATTAAATTGCGCAGATTTTTTATTCAATTTATACTGAATTTTTACTGCAACTTTTTATTTTATATTATGTTTCAAATAAATTAAATTAACAAATTTAAAAAATTAATAATTTAAAATACTTGTATTTATAAAGCTTTATTTTTGTAAAAAACTTTAGGGCGTTTTGGGACATATCCGGAGTGTTCATATTGGGATGTGCATTATTGAGAGCTTACCAAAAATTTGCCTAATTCCTTAATGGATGTTGATCCTTGTTTAAGTAGATATTAATGTTAAAATTAATATAATCTCATTTTTTAAAATAAATAAATAAATCAATGTATAAAAAATACATTATTTACATAGCTGAATAATAGTGAATTTTTTTCATCAGTCAATTCTTATTAATAGACGATTGAATATTAAGAAAAATATTCAGGAAGTTAAAAACCACCTTTTTTTTAAAATGATTTACAATTGATAGAGTATGCTCAAGCGATAAATATTACCAATATTAAAGTAAAAAAAATGAAGCTGCTATACAACAACAAGAAAAAGTAAATATTTATTAAGTGCCAATAGTTGCTATGCTGTTTCAACAAAAGTTGCAAGTTCGTAAAATCATTAAAGGGATGGTATTGAAAGTTGAATTTAAAAGATTTTTATTTTTGGAGGATTTCTTATTAGCATGGCGAAGATTATTAGAAAAAAAAAAATTTTAATGTAGATCGGTAAAAGAGCATGCTCAAGTTTATAATTCTATTGATTTGTCGATTGATTGTGATACTTGAGCACAATGACATAACCAGCCAATCTCATTGAGGGAGATGCTTGAGAACTCTCTAAATTAAAAAAAAAAAATCAAAAATCGCAGGGGGTTAAAAAAAGAATACAAAAAATCAATAAAATCAATTAAATAAAATCTTAAATAAAAAGAATTCAATAAATAAACAAAATAAAATTAAATCAATATTAAAATCGCGGTATAAAAAAAAAAAAAAATAAATTCGCGGATATAAAAAAATATTTTAAATTTTTACAAAAAAAAATTTGAAATCAACAGAAAAATAATAAAATAATAAATACAAAATTAAGAAAATCAAATATAAATAAATAAAAATAATTATAAAATTAAAAAAAAAATAAAATAAAAAATAAATTTTGTACTTTAGCGAAATATAATTATGATAGATTTATGGATTTTCTCATAACCTATAACACAATGTAGTACTAGGAAATGATGGCGCTAAAACTGTCGAACAAAATTATTATAACTAACTCTACGAGTTTTTATTAAAAATTTTTCAACTTGAGCCAATCAGCTTGCTAATTTTAAAGGGAGGTCTTAACGTTTAACGGAAAATTTGCCCGTACTTTAATTTTTTTTTTAAAAAAAAATGGTGAGCGTACCATCGAAATCATGTGTAATTTTGCAAGCTTAATTTCGAAGTGCATTTACGAGAGTATGAGAGTTTCGCAAAGAACTAATCATTAGATCATTCACAAGCCTTATTCAAATTTTCACTTTTGATTTTATCGGGATTTCCTTTAATTTGAGTTTTGCAACTTTACAATGTGATGCAAAACGTAAACGTTTTATAATAATCTTGCAATTGTGTGAAGTGAGGCATCATCTAAAATTAAATTTTATCACATTATATTTAAAGGTCTTTATTTTCTTTTTTAACTCCAAGTCTATTATATATCCCATCATTATTGCAAAAAAAAAAGGAATCACCTTGCATTTCAACCACATGGCACTTAGTGATCGAAAGAAAGAAATTGTCATCTTTATCCATTGTACGAAGAAAAAAAATCACCTTTGTCTCCCGGTGATTAAATTTTTTTCAAAAGAAGGTATTTAGTTGATTGAAAAATTAAAAAAATAATGTAATTATTTTCAGCAATCCAATCATTTCATTTGGCGTTATAAATTCTTGACGATACGAAGGACCTATCTCATTTAACTAGCAATTCGACATTGAAGCAAGCAGTAAGATACTCTTCTCGTACATTTGGACATTCCCTTGCTCCATGTGCTCAAGGAACATAACTTCCAATGGCACGTTTTGAAGTAAAATAAAATGCTGTTCTTGTTGGTATTGTTAGTAGGGCCGCTGATGTTTCTGTTGTTTTCCGTCATTAATGAAATAGTTTCAAGAGCTTCTGTTATTGCTGCAACAGAAATTGCAGTGTTTGATTGCGCTGCTACAGTTTCTTTTTTAGTCGCTAAACTTGATGAATATTGAGTATTTGTCGACAATAGCTTATTAAATTTGACGTAAGTTCGGACTGAATTTTAATTCATTTAAAAGTAATTTACGTAATGAATTATATTCTTCAATAGAAATATTATTATTTGACATTTTGAAAAAAAGATTCCAATTATTATTGTTTTTTATTTATTTGAAGTCGTGCGTTGATATTAATACATCACAATGTAACATTGGGGTGTTCCATCAACTATGTAAATCAAAACATTGTTAAGTATCATATAAAAATTTACTATTAGAGATTTTTGTGAAGCATACATGTCAAACTAATTATTGGCTAATATTATTACGATTTTTCCTAATAAAAAATTCTAAATCCTTAACTTCGGTATATGTTAGCATTCAGACATTTTAAAACTGTAAATGAATAATTTATAACTTAAAAAAAATGTGATACCTCGATTTTTTAAAAACAACAAAGAAAAAATTTTTTATTTAGAGAGCTTGTACAAAAAGATTTATTTATTATTTCTTGAAGCGTAAATAATATCTTTATTTTGGAAAAAACGAGTTGTTACATGAAATAGACTATAATTTAGAATGTTTTTGTAAATTTGAAGCGAAGATATTAAAAAGAACCTAAAGTAATAAGTCTAAAATGTATAGATTTTAGTGAGAAGATTATTATAAAGCAAATTTAACCTAAAAGAATTACAAAAAAAAATCTAATAGTAAATATTTATATGATACTTAAAAATGTTTGATTTACATAGTTGATGGAACACCAATGTAACATGATATAATCCCTTAAAATGGAAATTAGACTCATTTTTTATCAGGTAGGTTGAAAAACAAAAAATACTAAATATACCGATTCAGGTTTCACAAGAAGTCTCGTAGATAAAAAAAAAAATATCTAGAAACGAATACACTAAATTTATTTATTTATTGATTTATTTATTTATTTATTTATTTAGCAAATGAGTATTCGAGTATTCTATTTTCAAATGAAACCCTAATATCTGAATGATATGTTAATTAGTTAAGAACGCGTCATTTCACTGAACATGCTGAACATTAACTTTATTTGGGCATGTCACCGACGATCCAATGTGGTAACCATTGAGTATATGGAAAACCGGTACGGTATGATTCGCCAGACCAGTACGGTACGATTATGCAGATCAGTATTTTTCGCGGGAAATTTGAATCGTACCGTACCGTACTGGTCCTATATATAAAGCATTATTATAGAACCAGTACGGTA